GATAGATAGATAGATAGATAGATAGATAGATAGATAGATAGATAGATAGATAGATAATAGATAGATAGATAGATAGATAGATAGATAGATAGATAGATAGATAGATTAGATTAGATTAGATTAGATACTGGTAGGTATTCACTAAGGTTTTAATAAAGGCATTACTTTTTGTTTTTAAGCTAATTTGGCTTACATTAAGCATTCAAGAATCTGGCTGATAAATATGCATATCCATTTAAAGATTTGTTACATACTTTTACTGCTGCCTTCTGTGCATTGGTTGCATTAGTGATGTTCTCTTTCATAGGTACTGTTCCAAATATCTGCATATTTTAGCCTAGTCATCTAGTTTTAAGTATTTTAAGTATTTTTATCCATGCTGCTTGCTATCTTCCTTACAAATTATAGTTGTGAATAACTGAATGCATAAAACAAAGAAACACTTGTTTTTATGTTCAAATTGGTATGGTAAAGTTAATGCCTGAAGATCGGAATTTAGGCAATGGGTTAGCTTAGGATGTTGACAAACATATTAAACCAAAATGATTTGCAACCTATGAATGGCAGTCCTTAGCCTCTCCTGGTCCAACTATTTTAACACTGGCTAGACCTGAGCTATAGTACATCTGAAATTATTTGGCACATCTTTATGATACAACTTTGTGTGTTCTCTTTCCTTTCTCAAGCAACATTCTTTCAAGGCTAGGCCCAATGCAGGGGTGTGTGTGTGTGTGTAGAAGCCATGATGAACTTAATGGAACTTGTTTTGGGGAATACAAGCTTCTGCCCTTGCTTCTTCTAAGATCGGGGCTGCTGTAGGATAACACGGCTGCACAGTGATCATACTTGTGTCTTGGTGTATATTTATACCTTGGAGTGCTGCATGATACTCAATAATTTGCTTTAACCCCAACCAGCAAATCTGAGGTTTTCCTGCCTCTTCTCTGCTGGGGAAGTTTGGATTGTAGCAAGTAGGAAATATAAAGTTAAGGGCCCCGTTTCCTAGCTGTATTATCCTCCATAGTAACTATTTTATTTGGTGCATTTATATTTATTTTATAGTAATTAAATTGTTTTTGTTTTATAACGTATGCCACTCAGGGTCATTTGTTGAGAAGAGTGGTTATCGAAATCAG